TAGTTAAATCAATTTAGAATTTTTTGATTAAAAATTATTATGAAATTAAACAAATAATATAAAAAACATAAAATAATCCCGTGCAAAGCACGGGCGCAAAAAAAAAACTAGTATACCATATAATTCAAACTTAACTCTTATCTAAAAAAAATAAAATTACTAATAAATCATTTAGATTAATCAAAATAATTAGTTAAAGTTCATCCACAGCTATATCGTACCAATTAGGACGGCATTGGAGTGGTTGAAACCAGGTCAATGGGGCGGTGGACAAGGGCAACACCCGAAATTAATAAACAAATCTAATTTTGATCCATTGGCACACATGCATGATGCAATAGTAGGGCCGTTATTTGGGCAGTCCTTTGTAGAGTCACACTTATCATGTCATGTTTCAACATCAATTAGTTCAATCAGTTTGACATGTAGTTGATTTTATCATATGCATATATGACTAAGTGTTTGTTAGTTAGGTGAAATGTTGCATCCCAAAGCCATACATAGCAAACTTTGCCAAGATTATGGTTCAAGCATACTCAGACATGGCCAACAACGTTATGACCCGCTGGTAAGGTTTCTAGTCTTCTAGGGGTAAGGCCCCATCTCTGAGGTTTCGAGCCCGGCCCGAGCATTGTGTTTTCCTCCCCCACTCTTCCTTTTGTAATGTAACATTTGCCTCTATTACCAATAATGTATTAATTTAAATAAAAAAAGTTCAATTTTTTTAAAGTAAAATCTTAAATTTAAATCTTATAAATGAAGATATAGACACTAAGTAAACTTCTTTTGTTATGAAATCTGATACAATTCAATTCCGAATTAGTTAAGATTCAATATAACTGTCAAATATTAGAAAGTTAATAAAAAGAATTTGCCTTTGTTAAAAAAAAAAATTTGCCTTTGTTAAAGAAAAAAAAAAACAACTCAAACATGCACGAATAGTAAATATATATTGGCGTCAACTGACATGCCAGTATATTACCCTTTTTCTTAGAGTATTGCATTAATATCTTGAAGCAATTTTTGATATTGGATTGTACAATAAAAAATAATTATTTCTTTTTTTTTTTACATTAATAATTTTTCCGTTATCA